GTTGTTGTTGTTGTTGTTGTTGGTTTTGTTTTTAATATTGAAGCCTAAGACTTGTGGGACCTTCATTCTTCATTTACCTGAAGAGGTTCAAAACAACATCAGTTATCAATGAAGGTGTTGTGTTGAAACTGTGTCTCTGTGCTGTAGCCAGACTGAATCTGCACTAGCCAGGGTTGTCCTAGGACACTTGATGAGAAAGGGGGGCAATCCTGAGCACCACCACAGTGGCCAGGATCTATCTACTAAAATACGCAACCTGTGTCTGGAGCGAGGGCTGCACTCAGCTTCTCATGCCTGCCTGCAGCACTCACCACCACAGTACAGAGTGTTTCGTTCCTCCTTTTATTCTCCTTCCAGCTGATTATTAAAGTACACACAGGCCCTTCTCCAGAGAGCAAGTTGAGAACATCCCCACACAAAACAACCTGCTAGCTGTGGACATGGCACTTCTGGAAAGTTCCAACTTGCTACCAGCTCTACATAGGCTCAGCTGTGTTTGCAGGCGAGGGCTTTGGTCCTGGCCCATGTTTGCAGTTGGAAACAGGCCCCAGGACATTTCTGTTATTTCAGCATATACCAAGAATTATTTTGGCAAATGATATGACAATTATGCCAATTAGCTGAGGTTCAGGCTTGTGGTCTGAGATGCACAGTGTACATGACCATGTCTGGACTGATTATGCTAAGTTTTAAGAAAATTCTAATTCAAGTGTCATTGTTAATCAAACTTTCCTTTTAAAAGTATCAGAACAGGAGAACTCAATTGTATAATCAACACAGTTTAACAATACAGTGTTTTATTGAATATCTCCTAGACTGACAGATACAAAAAAATATTAGGCTGTCTCCTAGTTAATTCAATCCTTGACTAAGTTTTGTGTTACAGTTTTTTTCCCTTGTGAGGATATAAACAATGGATTTGCAAAGGCCACTTACAAACCCCATGGTTAAAACGATTAATAGTCTCATATTTTGCCTGTTGCTTTTTTTTATTTAAAGAAGATAATATAAATAACAAATAAGTTGATAATAAATTTCAGTTTGGAAGAAGCTGAAATTAATATTTGTAGAATTTTTATGTTCTGTGAGGCCTTTTTACCAAGCAATTAGAAAGTCTGAAATCAAACATACATTTAGTGAATGTTTGTATCATTCTTATGCATTTATTTATTTTATGAAATCTAGAACAGGAATTTATCTGATCTTGCAGTTTATTCTTTACTTCAGTCTATAATCTGAAATGACATTAGTCTACTTTGGTAATTTGCCTAAAAGGAAACAAACTGAACTTTCAGGAAATATTAGGATAGCTCTTTGGGAGGACAAAAGTAAAAAGAGATGGAGATGCACCTTAAGGCATCATAATTAGTTGCTGGTATGAAATTAAATTACTATCTGGCTGGCGTTGGCAACTACTGACATTATTGTGGTGTCATGTTACATGATAAGTAACAGAAGACAAATTTCTAGAAGAAAGATCTGTTTTTCTGGGCCTGTTCCTACCAAATAGAAACCTAGGAAGAAATTATATAATGTATTTGCTGTTCAGTTTATAAATGTTTTTATCTTAGATGATATATACTTTTTTTTCCCCCTTAATTTTTTTCTGAGACTATAAAAATCTCTTTAGAACAAACTAAATTACTCGGTATTCATGTTTTTGTTTGCACTATACATACCTATACACATCCAATATCGCTAGTGTAATTAAAGTTTTACTTGCTGCTCAAATTTGCTGTCATTGGATGTGTTTTCAGTGTTTTGAGGACCATGGTCTTGATTTAAAATTAAGTTGTAAAATCCAGTCTGTTTTTCTCAGTATATGCAGTTTCCCCACATTTCAGCCATCTTTACAGGAGTTTCCCAAATTAAGCATAAACAAATATTACTATATTGTACACTGTGCTAATTACTAGAATTGAAGATACTGTCATTGCAAAAACTGGATTTGTTTTAACAGATTAATGTCATATTTTTTTTCCATGTCTCACTCTTTTGTGATTTATTTGTGCCTTATTTGTGTTAATCTTTCAGGTGAAGTTTTCCCTGCTTGTTCATACACTAACCTTTCAGAAATCTAGATTCAGCAATGAAAAAAAAAGAACAAGAATGCTAACCTGATGGAAGGAATCTGTTCATCACAGAATCACATCTTTTTCTGTGTTACTGATTCAAATCAGTAAAGCCATCCAGATATTACAGTTTCAGAGGAGCACTAAAGTAGAATTTTAAGTCCAAGAGTTATTAAATCTAAATGAGGTGGAGCCTTTACCAATAGAATTAGTGTGGTTTTTTTAAACATGAACAGGACAAACTGTGAACCATATCAAGCTGTGCTTGTGTATTCCTGTTTTTCCTTAAGTAGCTGCACTGTGATTATAAATTCATTCTAATTATGCTTTCTGCTTGGTATCATGCCAAAAGGTCTCTTCTTCCTCTACTCTGCAATGTTCCTGCTTCCTTCTGTTCTGCTTCAGTAGCTTCAGAACCTGCCATCTAGGTACACACACAACAGCAGATGCATATAACTACACTCTTCACAGAAAAACTTCTGTCCCCAAGGCAAAAATAGAACAGATTGATGGGATCAGTATTAAACTGGTTCCCTCTAATGAGTTAAAGACTCCCATCTGTTCCATATACTAATGTGGTTTAAGTCTGCAAGGAGGAAAAAAGATCAATATAAATTTATGGGCTCTTCATAAGCATTAAATTAACAGCAGAAAAATGCAGGGTTGTGTGAAAGGGATGCTCATGATCCTCCACTGAGGCTTATAAAGTTAACTGAGCACAAAATTATGTAATTATGGTGTTAAATAAGACTTCTAGGGTAAAGTACCTAGAGGATAAATAAAAAAACATGCTTGCTACATCTTTGACAATTAAAAAATCCCTTTCAAAAGGAATTCAGCACCATCAGTCTGTTTAGTATCAGCTACCCTCTCACTCTCTCCCTTTCTGCTTTTCCAGTTTCTCATTTTAATTTTCAGCATTTCCAACTCCCCCATCTAATTCTCTGCCCCTGTGTGTTTCTCCAGATCTTTACTTCATCGAGATATAATTTTTGGTACACAGAGTCAAAAGTTTGTTACTTGTCCCCTTTGGACTTTTGGCCTCTTTCAAATATGCTTTTAAAGTCCTAATGATTTACTGTGTTCTCCAGCTGGTAAGTCAGACAGTTCCTTCCAAATTACAAAGTACAAATGGTATTAATCAAGTCTATTGACATACAAAACAACAATATTAAACAGACAAACTAAAAAAGGCTTCCTGCTGAAGCAAACCAAAATATAGACAAGCAGTAGTGCTGGCCCAGATCCTCCCAAAACTCATGTCCTCAGTCTTTGCTGTTTCATCCAAGCCTAGGAGTTGTCCACCAGGTCTGGTGGTTGTCATAGACACAGCCGTGGAGCCTCTTTCTCTTCACCCAGTGGATCTTGCAGAAGGTTTTTGGTGAAGTGACCTGTTTCCAATAGGTGAAAAGTCAGTGATGCCATGACCTAGCTTAATCTTTTAATCAGAGTTTCTCCTAGAAGATAGAATAATAGGTGTAAACCATCTCTGGCTTGAAGAGGAAGTGCTCAAAAAACAGAAATCTTCCCATCTGTTAGCAAATGCTTCAATCATTGGCAATTTAGTTAGAAAGAAACACTGTACCTGCTTCTTGTATGTTATAAAAAGGAAAAAATTGAGTAATGGCAGTATTTTTAAAAATGTCTAGGAGAACATGCTATGAGTTCAATAAAAAGGCTTATGAAATCAAACACTTTGGAGGAATATAGGAAGAAAAAGACCCTTTTCCATCTCCCCAGCGGTCAGCTGTGAAGTCTGTTTCCTGCTGAGCCCAGGCAGTAATACTAATGTGAAGAATTGTCAGTCAGCACAGCAGCCATGGCAAATCATTAGGTAGGGGAGCAGGACTTTCTGGATCTAAATGTCTTCTCAATCTCCCTCAACTCAACAGAAATAAAAGGTTTCTGTACTGCAATAGTCTTGCTTGGTAATAGGTCAGAAGTATTTTTATGAATATAGCTTCAAGTACTGCTCCTAGATGTCAGGGGCATAAATAAAATTTTAAATCTTAAGACTATAATTAGAATGTTTTCAGGAATCAGTATTTTCTTTGCTTTTACAGAACTACATAATTCTCAATACAAAGGACTACTTTCCATGTGCAGTCACAGCAACAAACGTGGACAAAAACATTGCGTTTTGGAGATCACTTAAGTTTAGAGAGGGGCTTTGTTTTCTGTTTCTTAGTAAGATACTGATAAACAGTGCCAGCCTTTACTGGAGCCTAGGTAGCTTTGACACTGGAGATTAAAATCAACACTGAAAGTAAGCATCAACTGTGCATCTACAACTTGGAAGCTAAGCAAGGCAGCTTCTCTAAATTAGAAAAAAAGCAGTGTTTGTTGCCATTTTTTGCAGTTCGGTCAATTTTTAAAGTTGGTTTTGCTTACAGAGGTAGCAGAATGGCCACGGCTTGGTTTGTAGCAACACCTTTTTTTAGGTTTGGGGCTTTTCAACTGAATGCATTTCTTTTATCTTTACCTGCTTTGCAAAAAAAGTACTAGGGACCTTTATTTATTCTTCCAGGTCTTCAGATTGCAGAGAAAAATAATTGTATGTACAGCCCCAGTGAGATCCCTGCTAACAATCTGCATTAACTGCAGAGAAGTTAGTGTAGGAATTTAGAGATGGTGGAATAAGTAAAACAAAACCTATAAGATCATCAGAAAAACACTGCTGAAAAGCCTCAGTGTTCAGAAGCCTTTCATTCTTTCAGATGCTCAATATGGGTGAGGATCTGTCTGGCTAAGAATCACCATTTATCAACATTTTCCAAGTGCCCACAAATACCCAGTGGTTATAAACAGTGTAATGTTTTTCTGCTGCTAAAAGACAATGAGTGAGTGAATGAGTCCTGGTGAGCAGAGGCAGAGGGAAGAGTGGAAAGTTTCCACATGCTGTTTTGAGCCATTACATGTGTCAGTATTTCCACTACGAGTAATGACTCAGAGCCAAAGGAGATAACTGCAAAACATATCATCAAAATCAAATTAGAAGGTGAACATAATTTGTTTCTGGGTACGGACGTAATTTCTATGTTCTGGTTTACTGGGAAGCTCTTTGAATCAAGGCATTCAGACTCTGTATTGAGATGTATTTACAACCTTGAGTAAGTTTTGGTGTTTAGAGATCTCTGACCAAGTTCAGAAAAGTTTGTCCATGTTTTTAATTAACTCTATAAAATTTTGGGAATTACTGTCATTCTCCTTGCAACCATTGCACATTAGTTGTGACCAAGCTGTTCCCATAGCTAAGGTCCTAGGTCCCTGTTGCTGCTCAGATCTTCTCAGCTGGGCCAAGATCTGAGCTAAGGCTTTGAGTCAGGTTAGCGGGCTGCACACCAACCCAGCAGAGAAGCTTTGAGTGCTGCATCCAAGCAGGCTATTCCTGAAAGCGCCACAACTCATTCCAGCCTTATTTAAAGGTCTTCCTCCTTCCAGACTCTTTCATATGCTACATCTTCCTCCAGAACTTGTTGAGGTTTAGGAATGTTCCAGCTCCTTTTGTTAGGTCTTGTCTCTCCATTACAATTACTGCATAATAACAGAGTTACAAGCTGGTTTGCATACAAGCTCTGGGAGTGCTGCACAGACTAGCCCAGGCCATGGCTGTCCAGTTCTCTTGTGCTTCCACCTGTGCTTCCTCCCCATACCCTCTCTCCAGAGCTGGACTAAGCCCTCTGCACAGACTTTTCACTACTGTTTGCTTCTTTTCCCTTTCCCAGCCTCAAGTGGCAGAAATCTTCATTTTCCTCATGAAGCCATCGGAGCAGAGGTGGTGAACAAGTGGGGTCATATGGGAATGTGTGAGTGGGTGAGGGGGACAGCTAATGCAGATACAGAAGTTCCTGCACTTCAGGGAAGGTGGGAAAACTCCTGCTGACATTCTGCTCCACCACAGGGTGAAGTTCTATCAGGTAATGGCTATGGCCCCTTTTGTCATCCAAATGAGACAGAGGAGTGACAGAGACCCAAAAAAGGGCAGAGGTTCATGTCCCAAGTCACATATCTAAAAATGTGCAGATTGCTTGACTAGAAGGTCCAATAATATTGAGATCTTAACCACTGTGTGATAATACCATTCTCAGCACAGTCAGTGATGTTGTTGTTTTCCTTTTTCCTTGAACCGGGCCTTTTTTAACCTTTTCTTCATTCTTTGTTTTGGAGGGGGTTTTTGTTTTTTTGTTTTAACCCTTGGAACCGAAACTTCACCTATTGTACTCCATATTATCCCTGAACTCTGGCTGAATCGGAATCAAATATTTCAGAAATATGTCCAACCAGGTTTCTCATAATTCTAGCAGCGGGAATTACACCGCATCTACCTCAAATCGCTCCAGGAGATAGGCATATTCACAATTTAAAACATCTGTAACTTGTTTAAAGTTTTTATTTGCCTAGCAAAAATCCCAGTCCTGAGTTTTGTGCTGTTGCATTAAAGAGCTGTTCTTTAAGTTTTCCTACATGTAGGTATCTGTAGGCAATGAGGAAATCACCTCTGCAACTTGAATAATTTAATGTAATTTGTTAATGTTTCTATCTGTTCTCCACACTACAGCTTAGAGTCTTTCAAAACGTTTTCAGCTTTTCAGAAGAATTCTCAAAAACAGGACCTCAGAGCTGAAGGGTTTCAGTGATAACCTTGCCATGACACGGACACCTTGCCTTTCCTCCTTCCTGTGCTTTGCTGATACCTCCCAAGGTCACATTAGCTCTTTGGCTAACTACCTCAATGGACATGCCTATCCTGCCAATTGTACTTTCCTCTTAAGACCTCTGCAGTGTCAGCATAGCAGTGTTATTTCTCAAAAGTGGGATCTACATTCTTTGTTTCAAAATCCAGTCTTCAGTTGTCTTCAAAGGCCCACAACTCAGATCGACCTACTTACAGAATAATCCAATTCATTCCATAGGCCTAGCTTGTCCCTCTCTTGGCTTACATACCCAGTAACTTGAGGGCACCTGGAAATTTTGAAAGTGATAATTTTCTATTTTCTCCCAGTTGATTGATACAAGTATCAATACAGGTTTTAAGAATGCCTTTAATTTACTCACAAGGTACATGTTTGATAAGAAAAAGCACATTTACAAGGACGATTAGCAGGAAAAAAGACTGACATCTGCCTGTAATACAAACCAGTTCAGTGCACAAGAGAGAGGACCAACATAGAATAAAGCACATACTTTTGCTTTTACTCTGTACAGACAATCCAATTCTGACACTTTAGACAACAAAACATTTTAAATTCCCAGTCCCTCCACCCACCAGAGTTGGTGGGTAGCTCCTTTACCACAGTTCCTCATTCAGAAATAGCTTTTTGTTGTCATAAGCTACATGTTCTTACTCTTTATTTAAGTGAGACAATCCAGTTTCAAAGCAGCAACTCAATTCCATCTTCTTTAAACACAATTGAAACTTTCCAGATAGCCCATTAGATGCAGGATGAGATTCATGAGATCCTTACTCTTTATTGTAATTTTCCAAATGTGTATTTATAAAGTGTGTACTAAATTTCAAAGTTGATTGTTTAAGCAGGACAATTTTGATATCTCTGGTCTCAGACAGAGAACCTGAGACTTTCAGAAGTTTAAAAGAGGAAAAATATTCAAATTCAAAGGCAGCTAATCTTTCTTTGTAATTTTGACTGTTGTGTTCAGTAAACAGAAAGCTTGAAAAGCAGTTAATTAGATCAAACAGATCAGTTCTGAAAGCAACAAGTGATTGCCACCCTCCGCTCCCAGACACACAGTTAGCCAAGCTGATCGTTGGCAGCCCTAAAGTGATTACCCAAAAGTGATCAGCCCTTGAAAAAATCATCTTTCAGTCTTCCACCCTCCACATTTGTTCATGGCACAAGCCAGCCTCTGTGAGGTTATCCTGAAAGTAAAACAAAGACATGGCAACTATTCAGGCATGCTGATGCTGAAACACATGGTTCTTCCCTGAAGGGAGAAATCAGACTCCAATCTTATAAAACAAGCAAGCTGCTTCTCTCAGGGGCTTGCAAAAAGATAAACAGGGGGATCAAAAGAATGTTTGAACTCAGCAGATGTTCAGTGCCACTAAGGGATAATTCATGACACCTTAGGAGTATATTGTGCCAGGAGAATATATTCTACACTACACAGCATAATCACAGTACCCTACTATGGAAAAAATTCAGCTATTCCATCAAAAGCCAGCATGGTTATGTGTTTTATTTCCCTGCCCAGAGCTGAAAGTATTTTAAAAACTTTCTTTCCCCCATCCAAATTTTGCATCAATATTCACAAATTACCTGGGGAAAAATATGAAAAGTTATAGAAAAGTTTTAATTAAATAAAATAGTGAAATGAATCCCTGAAATGAATGGCAGGGAAGTTAGAATGAAGACAGAACAAAAAAATTACTAGGATACTGGAAAACAGAAGGAAATAATTAAGATTAAGCAATGAAAAAGACTCCCTGTAGCACACATAATAATAAAATCATTTACAGATCACTAAGAAAACATTCCATGACCATAATTGAGGGTATCTATCATTTTGTGGGTGCAAAATTTGGAATATCTGCAGCAAAACCTTAATGGGGCAGAGTTCAATCTCTTTCTAGTTGAATGTGGTCTCAAAGTACCACATGTTCCTATTATAAGCTGCTGGGAAAGCAAAACACACATTGCAAACTTTCTCTTTTCCAAAATAATGCTTCATTCATGGTTGGTAGCTGTCTATTTTGAAATTCTCAATTTAAAATAAATAATTAATTTACATTGTCTTATATTTCTGCTCTCCTGGCATTTATTATAGATTTTTATTTGGAGTGAAAAGTGGGGATTGGGTTCACATATTTTTATGCTTCTTACTTTACACAGGCTTCTCTCTATGGTCCATGATAGCTCTGGTCTTCTGTAGATATTTTGCTATCACACCTGTGCCCAGAAGTGCTAGAAAACTGCCATGTTGTTTGTGGGAAAGATGGTTAAATCTAGTCATGGCCCCACAGAGCAGGAGATCTAATTTATCATCTGGAGTATAGTTGAGTTGCTAGGATCACCTGCTGTTCTAAACGTAAAGCACATAGCTTCCACACATTCCCCCATTTTTCCTAGAGATAATTTTTTTTACAAATCAGAATGGGAATTGTGGGAACTCCATTTGTATACCAAGCATAGGATTCAGTCAGCCAACCTCATCCCCCTTGCTCAATTTTGAGAAATCACCAGAGATTAAGAACCATTTTTGCACAGAGACGTCAGAGCAGCTGTTTACAATCTCACTCGGAAGCAACTCTGTTTCCAGCCAGTTTCTTTCTCAAAAGTAGTATAGAAATTGCAAGTGTCAGAAGTTTGAAAGGGTACAGAAAAAAAAAATCATTAAGTAATTTTTTCATTTATTAATCTACCATAGATGAGAATAGCAGTAACCCATTTGCTGCATTTTATATAGATGAGCCACTCTTCTCTCAACTGCATTGCTACAAACTGTTTGAAAACATGTTAGAGAAAGAAATGCATACCAACAGAGAAATGCTTTAATCAGAGATTGTAAAACAAAACAGAATGCCAGATGAACCAGGTCTTGTTCATCTGTAAGGGCTGCAGTTATGCCATTAGCTTTACCTCACAACAATTTGTCCAGGGCAATGTGGAGTTTCATGTAAAAAATCAATGGTTCAATCTTGCCCTGTAAACATCAGGTAGCATAGCTGTCTACAGCATTCTGCCAGATTCAGGACAAGATGGATGATTCTTTCTTTGAAATTTGCTCTCTGAAAGCAGAAAATTGACCAGAGGGTAGCATGTTAAAAACAGCACAGTCTTAAAAAAAAAAAAAATACAACTGTCTAGAACAATTAGAAAAGTCAAGTACATTGTTTACTTTTTCCTAATGCAAACCGATAGCCCCTCCCCAATGTAATTTGTATTGTCCAAGATCAAGTGAAGCAGCAACAAACAACCTCCACAACACAGATGAGGTGTCTCATAATAACATACCACCAAGGCAGTTCTTTGCAAGCAAATATCAACCCTCTGGCTTCCCAGGCAAGGGAAGCAACCCTGGCTCCTCCTAAGGAACTGGGGCAGATCATCCTACGAGCAGGTACAGACTGCTGGGTAGAGAGACAATGGCATTGATTTGAGTGTTTAAGCATTGACTATCACTCCACTCTTACTGAAAGGTGGAAACCCCTGAAGAAGCCGCTGACTGCTCTGGGGGCACTGTGAGAGCTCTGGACAGAGCTCACAGGTTCCCTGTGTGACATCCCTCGATACCAGGAACAAGATGCAGGAAGTATTAAGTCTCAGTTAAACTCACATGTAGGTGGAAAAGAGGGTGATGACCCCAGCTCTAGCTATAGTCAAGCAGATGAAGTGTTCAGTACTGTGACTGACTTACCAAATCTTCTCAGAGATATCCTTTTTAAACTGTGACCCTTCCCTTGCAGCATCAAGATGATAGGTGGCCCTCTGCCTGTTACACCCTCATTGCCTGAGATGTGCTATATAATTACTTCAGATTGATTTATATACAGGTGATGGATTACAACTCTGTAGCCACTCTACCCCTTCTATTTAACGTCTAAACATTTCATACAGTATGTTGCCAATTTAAAAAAGTTACTGTTGCTCAAACTTTATGGAACATTAGTGCATCATTTAGGTGCAAACTGCAGATTTATTTATAAATGGCAGGCACAATGACACATTTCTTCAGTCTATACAAAATGACAAGATATGACTCATGATTAAGTCATGGCTCCTAGACATAAGAGAAATGCTTAAATACCTTATATTGTGCTCAGAAATGTGCTACAGTCATGGTGTTCAGTGCACCAGCAAGGTCATATATTTTGTAGCAAAACCAGAGTATTGCAGAGTGCCTGAACAGTATCTGCACCCTCTTTTCACTCTGGGAAATCAAAAAGGAGTCTTCCAATACAGCATTGCCCTCCAGGCTATTGTATGCAGAAGTAAATCTAAAATAATGAACTTGGAGACATTGCATCTTTCAATTTGGCCATTGAGTAGTTCATAAAGATATTGCCCAAAATCTGTTGTGTCTCAAAACCATACATGGTTTAGATGCCCATGGGAATTCTGTGTAGGGGATGAATAAGAAGTGGAAATTTGACCCTTTGTCGAGTAACAGAGTGTAGCAGAGATGAGTCAGTCTGTAAGGAACTGATACAACTCTGCATTCAAGGTCACCATAATGAAATTACAGTCTACATTTGAAGTAATCAGAAGGCCATTCCAATGTTCATTTGGCACAGGATACTCTCTTATCAAAAGAATCAAACTTTGAGAGCCCAAAATAGACTTCTCACATTTCTGTGCAGCTTCAGTTTAATACTCTAAATTGCTGGTGCTTGCCCCACAATGGATATGTAATCAAACAAATAGAGCTTATTCTCTAATGTAATTTATCCAAAAAACGTTCCATAACACCCCTGCACTACAAGAGTATCCAAGTACATGGAGTATCTTTGAAACCTGCAGGTGTCTTTGAGTCACTGTCTTGATGTCAAAAATGGAAAAGGAAATTCATACTGACTTGTAAATTAAAGAAGAAATAGTAGAAAAAGTATAATTCCTGCATATCGATGGAAGCCTCTTACCAAATAATATTAATATACATTTAACTGTATAGGGGCAGAAAATACTCATATGGCTGAAATATTTTTCAGAAGCAATTCAGTACTAATTAACTTAAACATAAATTTCTTTATTTCCCATGGTGCAAACACAAGAATTGTCTGCCTCTCACCCCACTGTCACTGGTGGGGTGAGAGGTAGAAAAAGCCTTGACCCTGTGAAACCCTGCTCAGTCATAGCTAAAACATCCATTTTGTTACCAACACTGCTTCTAGCAGGAATTCAAAATACAGACCCTTCGTAGCTACTATGAAGGAAATTAACTCTGCCTCAAGGAAAGCCAACACATGTACACAGTTTGAAAAGCAGTCTTCTCTAGAGATCTTTGTTTCTTTGCATTTACAGGAGTCAGCGCTTCCTTGGGTAGTGAAGAGATACAGAAAAAGCTGTAGAGCTAAAATGAGTACACCAGCTGATGAGCCTGGAGGTGTCCTGCATGCATTAACTGACAGCAGGGCCCATCACTATAGAAGTGCCTTGAAAAGGCTACTACTGAAAAGGCAAATTCCCTCTTCAAGGGAATGTAAATTTAGTAATGTTTGACTTCTGGTTTAGGTAGGAGTTCTGTGCATAGATGTGGCAAGAACACTGTTACCTTAAAAAGCCATAATTTTTACTAAAGATAGGTAGTTTTCAGGTGCATTTAAGCATTAATTTAGCATTGCTTATAAAGTTGCTCCCCAGAATATATTTATATAAAGAAATGGAGTTTGGGGGTTTCTTTAATGCATTAATGAGACTGACTTTCTGTGTTGGGACTTTATTTCAACAAAATATCACTTCATTTTCACTAATGTCTTTTTGTAAGGATGGCAATAAAACACACAAACAATTTGGTGTTGGACTTGAGTCACAAATGTCTCAAATGTCTCAAATACTCTCCATTACTTTCTTGTCTGGAGAAGAGACGTCCTGGGGGGAACCTAACAGCAATTTTCTAATAGTTAAGATAAGAGACAGAGCCAGGTTCTTTAATGAAGTAATGTGGGACAAAAACTGACAGTAGCCACTAACTGAAACAGGGGAAGATCCAACTGGATATAAGGGAAAAAAATACTATGGCTTTTCAAGCTTTCAGTCGCTACGGAGAGTACCATGTTTGAATGCCTAATGACAGAAATGTCTTGAAATTCCCACATGAGAGGAGCTGTTTTTTGGCTCACCAACACCTGAAAACCACGTATTCCCTTTCTCCATCAGTGTAATTTCTCTTAGGAAGGTTCAAGATGCATCACAAGAATTTATTGTTATATTTATAAATAAATGTGTTGTGCCTTTTTTCTGCTAAGAAGAAGAAGAGGAAGAAAACTACTGTTTCCACATTAAAATTATTCTTCCCTTGAAAGGGAAAATCCCATCAAGTCTGCTATGTAATCCAGGTAACTTGATAAAAATGCCTTCACTCCATGAGTAAATGTCTAAAGGAGAACAGCAGACTTTATGCTGCTTTTATTGATTTTGGGCTTTGCTGTGATCTGTCTAGTTTGTACACAGAGTCAGCTTTTCACTTTATCTTTTCTCTGTGCTAATCTAGCAGAAGACATTGTACAAATTAAAATTGAGATCCTTAAGATTAAGATTCATAGTTATGGGCTTTGTCAGTGTCTTTAAGTAATTTAATAAAATAGTGTGTCTGTCAGATTGATTGACATTGTTCAGATAAGTTCAGCTTTTGCAGATACACCAGACTAATTTCTCCAAGTGAAGACCACAAGCTGCACAGAAGAAGAAGAAGGAAAAAAAAATTAATATTCATAAATATTTCAAGAAGGCAAAAATTTGTCTATGAGACAACATTATAGTAAGGGAAATGTATTTTGTCTTCCATATCTTTATGTATTTCCTTTTATTTCTTTCGTTCCTTTTTTTTTTTTTTTTTTTTTTTTTTTTTTTTTTTTTTTTTTTTTTTTTTTTTTTTTTTTTTTTTTTTTTTTTTTTTCCCTAATATATCTCTTCCACTTACTGGAAAGCACACGATATTTCTTTTGTATTGCTTTACTGGCAGCAGAGAGTAAAGGAGGACAGATGAAGCACTCAGCAGTATCCCTCAGCACAATTCATAGGAACCTTTGCTGCACCAAGACTGGCCCAAAGGAAGTCATAACTTGGAGGTCCAGCATTCCAATTGTAGGACTTTGACCTTTCCCATCTTCCACCCCTTTGGTCAGGAACAATACAGAAAAAGTTGTCAAAAATCTATGGAAAGATCCTTTATCACATGTGTAGCTGCCTCCTGCTTAACCAAGATTCTGGTTTCCTTATGACAATGCCATTGGTTCAGAAAATTAAACACTTTCTCTAAGGAATGTTCATACTAACCATTATTATGGGCACTCAAAGAAAGGATTTAAGTCAAAATATGTGTTGAAAAAGAAATTAACTATAGCTTGTGGTCAAAGGCATTTGTGTGTAAATGCATCAGTGATCATTTAACCACTAACTCACTTTAGTGTGTTCAGATGGCTGCTGCATTCAAAGCAATCAAAATTTTCACTGTTTAGCCACAGGTATCCAAAGCATTTTGTAAAGTCATGAAGTAAGAAAACAAATGACCCTGCATTTAGAAACCTGGCTCCTTGCATTTTGGGGCCAAGTGTTGAAGTTTTCAATAATGTGTATATTGCTTCACACATTATTTTGATCAACCATGCCTGTGACTCTCCACCTAGGGAGCCAGAAAAGCTCATGTCTAAGAGTGTGGGAATTATCAGTCATTCACCTTGGTGGCTCTTGTTTTCTGCTTTATAAATCAGAAATAATAATGCTACCATTTTTTTTCCGAAACATTTTAAATATTATGGGCTTTATCTGTAGGCAACTAATTCTACAAGCCATATATTGTAGCCTGGTCTGCTGAGGTCTGTGGGAAAGTGCCTGTCTATTTCAGAAAGGACATATTTTTCACTCACTGACTTGAACAACAGATCAGGCCCTGTTACTACAACCAAATTTAATAATTATTATTTTTAAAATTCTCTTGCTATTTACTTGAAGCACAAAGCAACATGCCATGTCAATTCTATCTCAGCAGTGGATAAGCTTGGGCTTAACACCTACAGTTATTGGCAGTCTCAAGTTTCAGCTGGGTCTGTAGGTGAGTGTCTGTTGGTGTAACATATCCATCACACATCCTAGAACAGATGGAAGAGGCAGCAGTGTTTTCTTGAAATGACATATTAAAGTTGTATGCATGCAGTTGCTGCTTACATTAAACTCTCAGAAAACATCTCTTCCAGAAAGTTTTGTCCACTGTTTTAATATCTTTTTAGACTTTCAGCACTAGCATGTGGGAAAACTCAGCAATTAAAAGGATCTTGCATGATTACTGAATAGGTATTATTAGATTCTTGTATATCCACTGAGGTTTCACAAAGTTCTGTGTTGTGCCACACGGCTTCATTTTAGGTGACTGAAAGTACCCCATTCTGACTTGAAGATGAGTTGGCTTCTGTCAGGTTAGAACAAATATGAAGAATGACATTGTTCACCATTTGGCACCATGAGAAATTTTATACTTGATAGAAACTATTTTGATAATTATTCATTGCATTAATTTAATAATTATTCCCTCTTCCTTTTATAAGAAGAAAATATCAGCTTTCTGGCAACAGAGAAATAATAAATTGGGGCAATAATTTGAATAAGAACACACTAAAATCTTGGCCAGCATATTTAAGTCCAGACACCTACAACTGCATGAAGTTTTATCCAACACCTCTGCAGAGGTACAGGTAGAACCTGCATTTCCTCTTTACTCCATCAGCTTTTGGTAACAAATCATCATACTTTAAAATTAGGCCTTTTGTTATGCAAGTATCATCTCATATATAAATTATTTTAAGCATATTTCTTCTCCTTTCACTAGAAGACAAGATTTAAACTAAGAAATGGGTTAGAACTTGGTATAGTACATAAATGTATTTTGAGTGCCAAAGAAGATAAAGTGAGAGCAAAAATGGTTGAACCAGTTCAGGGAAGATTAATCCACTGGGAGATTTTAAATATAAACAGCCTTCTGACCAAGAAGTCCCACTACTACCCATGCTCAGAATGTGAAAGAGATACTACAAGAATCATAGAATATTCTGAGTTGGAAGGGAACCACAAGGATCATTGAGTCCAACTCCTGGGCAGCCTCAGAAGACACACCATGTGTCTGGGAGCGCTGTTCAAACACTTCTTGAACTCTGTCAGGCTGATGCTCTGACACTTCCCTGGGCAGCCTGTTGCAGTGTCTAAGCATCCTCTGGTGAAGAAACTTTTCCTGATATCCCACGTAAACCTCCCCTGATTCAGCTTCATGCCTTGTCCTTGGGGCCTATCAATGGTCACCACAGAGAAGACATCAATGACTTCCCCTGCAGTTTTCCTCATGGGGATATTGATGGCTGCAGTGAGGTCTCCCCACAGTCCCCTCTAGGCTGAACAGACCAAGTGACCTCAGCAGCTCCTCGTAAGGCTTCTCTTCAAGGCCCTTCAGGCCCTTCACCATCTTTATTCCCTTCCTTTGGACACTCTCTAATAGCTTTATGTCTTTTTTTATGCTGTGGCACCCAAAACTGCCCTCTGCACTGGAGGTGAGGCCAGCCCAGGGCTGAGCAGAGCAGGACAATCCCTCCCTTGCCCAGCTGGCCATGCTGTGCCTGATGCCCCCAGGACAGGGTTGGCCATCCTGGCTGCCGGGGCACTGCTGGCTCAATCTGACATCGACCAAGAAAGATTGCTGCTTCTTATCACATTTTCCTAATCTTTTTTTTACTAAATGTAGTGGTGGAGATTTAATAATGGATATTTAGTCTGACCCAATTCTTTTACTCAATCTTGAGATCAAGAAAGCAAAAAAAGGAAAAATGGCTAAACAAATTAAAGTGCTGGTAGTTGCAGCTTTCAGTGTTCAGTGACCTCCTCATGGCCCTGAACTTTGTCCTGGTTTGTATGCGCTATTTTTTTTATCTGAAATTTTGCAAAATGTTTCAGAATTAAATTCAATTACTTTAAAAGGATCAATAATGTTGTAAGACATCTCAGAGTGCAGAGTGTTCCTGAAATAAATTCTTAACTTCTGTTTTGGAGGGAAAGATATTTGGAATATGCTTGCATGTATGTTAAAAAAATATTAAAGATGTCCCTGAATTAGATTAAGTGCTAGCTCTTTGGGTCCTAATATCTTGGCACGCTGCCAGAGAGCAATCTTAGTGATTGAGTCATTTTGTATGGAGAGCCATTCTTCAGATAATGCCCGAGTGAGTCATGAGATCTAATTCCATTAAAAAGAGTCATGAGGCCCACAATCTTAATTACATTTATGCTTCTAAGCAGAGGAATGCTTAATGGAAAGGATAACTCATTTTAAGTCTCTTCCAATGGAACCAGAATAGAAGGAGCATTGCCCATACCTGAAATTGAAATATTAATTTCTGCAGTCTTCCAACTCTGAGCTCCACAAGAGCTGGAGTGGTCTCAATACTATTAGTGAGATTAGAAATGTGGGGTGTGGGGTGGAAGATGCTAGAAATGATGGTCTGGTGCTTGCGAGATATTGCAACCTCTGCCTATGTCACTCTGAATGAAATTCTCCTAGATAAGTTTTCATGACGAGACAAAACAATTTAATGACTGCTAAGTCTAGATAAACATAGACTCAGGCACCACTTCCATTCCTTATACAGGGCAGAATCCATGTTTTTCTGCGCTAATCAAAGAGGAGCCTTGTTTTCTGTGTCAGACTCATGTAACAGAAAATGTTATATGGGGTTTTACTCAGATAACATAAGAAAATAAAGAATTGTATGTTACACCATGTTAAAAAGCAATTATTTACCAGAGCTACCTCATATTTTCACAACTCCAGGACCCAAAAGCCCACTAGCAGCCAGAGCTCACTGGGTGTGCCCCTGAAGTGCAACTTTCAGTGACAGGCCAGCAAAAGGACTGCAACATTCATAGATCCTTGAAAATTAGAAACATAAGGGACAAAGGTTCAGCTAGCATTTCCATAAGTCATTAAGTGAATAGTTTAATCTCTGAACTCCTCAACTACAACGTTTAACATAATTACTGCATGTTTCTGCAACTAATTAAAAATAGTAATCATTAAAATCTGGCAAAACATACTTAATTTACTACTTCATACCTGGTCTTGACTGAAAAGGTGGTTTAATGCCTTGACATAAGTAATTGGTTGTAAGTTCCAGACTGCTGAAGCAAGCCTCCTATAACACGATGATCTGTCTTCAAGTCATTTTTGTCTTGAGAGTTGCAGACAATGATTTCATCAAGTCTAACACCAAAATGCCATATTTTTTTCTCAAACAAATCCTAATCTTGTAATCCCAGGGGAAAAAATAAAATGTGAAAAGGTAGCACTTCGGTCAGTGAATTTAAAAAGGCTTCAACATACAGTGTTTGTGTCAAAGCAATTGAATTCTAAACACTCACAGAAAATAATGAAAGATTGTTGTTTTTGTCACAGATGTAATCTGAAAAATCATATTTAGTACCTTTAGTTTCTTCAAATCAGACTTAATTTCTTCTTACCACTCTGGAAAGTATGCACAAATTCACATTTCATTGTCATTGTGCTGATATTGAGAAGACAATCCCACTGAGCCACAGGCATCTCAGGTTGAGACTATGGAACAGAGAGGGACAGGAGAAATGAGTCTTCAAATCTGTTTGGTTTCCCAAAGGATATATATTCTAAAGGATATATCTGGCAAGAGCTATGCAGGATGATTTGCCCACCTTGCCAAAGACAGCCTAAAGTGCAGCCAGGTATGGAGCCTGTTTCTCACAGTCTCACTCCAGGGTTTTAATGGCATCCTTCTGATCCAGTTCTTGCACTGTCACAATTTACTATTTGTAAAAAAATTATGGGATGTAAACACAAAATCCAATTAAATCACAGGTTATACTAATATCAACAGAGACATCTGCCTTCCTTCCTGAAATGAGTTATAACCCCTTCTCGCTACCTAAAAGCTTGTATCCAGTATGCTTATAGAAATAAGACCAACATAAAAGCTAATAGTAATTCAAACTTCTGATGTCAAAAGGTCTCTCCTTTTATTGATACTTGATCACTTGATACTTATTTGTACAGCTGACTGAAACACAAATCTTTCGTAAGGCTACCCAAATATATCTCTTACCTCTTGCAATTAATTACAGTTGTTTGAAAAAATACTGACAGAATTAATTAGGAACATTTACACATGATGGTATTACTTAAATTCTTGGACTAGATTTTTGGTTCTACCTTTTCAGATAGATGTTCTAGTGGAATAGAGAGATAAGAAAGTCCTGCAAGTAAAAAATAATAAATACAACCTAAAAACCTTCAAAACTGTCTACCGGTTCTACCCTCACTTGTGTGCCGCTTAGCTCCTGCCGAAATGGTGAGCTCTGTCTCACTCCTCCACTATCACTTTCGCAGGACATGAGAACAGTGACAGGAGACCTGCCACAAACAGACACAAAGCCACAGCCACAGCCTTGCTTAAAAAGCAAGGTAGAAGCAGCAGTTGAAAGTTTGTGAAAGCCTCCTACAAAAACACATCCTAAAGCTGTGATTCTATTTTGTTCCCTCCTCCAACACAGTCTTTGCTGAACAGTAACTCATCCTAATGAATTCATAAAATAAATGGTCGTTGGTCAATCACAGTAAACCCAATCCTACATGGCAATTCATAGGAAAAATGTAACAGGAATGCAAAGTGCTTAAAGATTAATAACAATAAAAAATTAATTAAAAGGCTTGTAAAAAAAATCTCTCTAAGCAATCTTCATTTTGGTCTGCTCCAGCAAATTCATTTTTAAAACTATTAAAATAAAACTGCTCTGTGAAATATTTTCATCATCTCCTCACAGCCCCTTCTTGAATTTGTTCCAGCAGAACTATTAGCAGTGATTGAAGGTGAGACAGACAAGACAAAATTCTCCAGAGAACAAGGGAAGAGACACCTTTCTGCCCTCAACCCATCAACTATAATGAATGATAGGCACAGTGCATGACAGGGACTGAAATAGGAGACTGTGACAAAGACAGGCATCAGAATGCTTCAGAATAATTCATTCAGTAGCAGTTGGCAGCAGAAGATCATAATATTTTTGTGTAGCCAGTGCAAAAAAAATAAAACACAGAATGGCATTTGCATGCTGATTCCGCTACAGTCAGAAAGAAAGGAATAGTTAATCAAATATTTGATTTACATTCTCCCTCCTGTTTCCTGCTGCCCATAAGCACATGGAGCAGTGTGAGACAGGCACATGAGGCTGACTGGGTAGCAAAGTCTAATTCACAATGTGCTGATTACAGCTACTTCTCCTCTCTCCCTCACAAGATGGTCTATGCTAGAAAAATCCACACATTTTTTCATCAGCTGTGTTTGGAGTCTGTAATTGTCCCTTTGCTGAAAGAAGAGTTGGAAACATGGCATCACTCTTTGAGAGAGGAAAGGGCGCAGGGAGAAAGTCATAGCGAGATCCAGGACTGATTTGGAAATCAGACTTCAAGGAGATACATTGCAACCCAGGCACCAGCTCACAGCTGCTGTGACATCTGTCTGTGCTTTACCTGCTGAAATCAGTGTCCCCAGGACCCCCATGCCTCTCTGCCCACACAGGCTCACAGGCAGTGGCTTGTCAAAGCCAGGCAGTGCTTCGTTGAAGCAGCGTGTGGCCCAGTCTGCAGACAGTATTGTGTGTTCCAAAGAAATGCGATTCAAAAAAGGACCCTGAGAGCAGGGGTACTTTCTAACACTCCTAACACAGGCCACTCTGGACAGCCAGGAGCCTGGGAAGGTGGAAATATGAGAGATCAAGATCCCAGAGCAAGCCCTGGGCCACAGGACTCCTATCAAACCCAGCAGGACATTTCCTATGTTCTTCAGGTTCTCTCCATCTGAAGGATTTGAGCTATAAAGAATACAACAAAAACACCAACTTCATGAGACCCAGTGCAGAAGCAATACAAATTCCTTGCAGTCTTAGTAACCAAAGCATTCATCTAGGATACAGAAGAATAAATATAATCATTTATTCAATGACATAAACAGGTTCAAACTTTCATTCCCCACTCCTTGCTCATCACTAACATAGAAGCCATTCCAGAAGACAGACAATTTTACCACTTCTCCTTTGGAAAACCAGCACAGAGAAAAGAAGGAAGCATTATGCTGAACAGAGTACTAACCCTCCTCTGAGGCTTGTTTAGGTACATCTTGATATTATAATGAACAGTCTTTATACAAGAGGTACAAAAGGTTTTTATGGCAGGGACCAGTACAGCCAATGGGCTGTGCAGGGATTTTCCTTAAAGATGGAAGATGCAGTTTTGAATTCCCATCAGACAGGAGAGGGGACTGAAATTCTGTCTATCACATCACAGATGACTTCTCTGAACCCTGAGCTTATTGCTATGGAGGAAAAAATCTTCTTCCTCTGGTGGCATTATACAATCATGATCCCCTGCTATACTTAGAATAAAAATGAGCACAGCACTTACTTCCATGAGTTTTGTTCAAGGAGTCCCCAGTGGAGAAGGGCACTTTTTCTGAGACAGAGGACAGACTGGCTCAGCAGGCTGCTTGCCAGGTTCCTCCATGTGGGGTTATTGAGGATCCCCATCATCTGCACAGAGGGGTCACTGTTCAAAGTGAGGGCTGATGACCATTTTAGGAGCTCAGTGCCCAGTGCTCCCCTAGGACATCCTTCCTAGTCCAAGCTGTGTGTCCTGATGGAGACATCTAACATTAAATCCTTCCTTCTGCACACTAACACACTGACTGGGACAATCTGCAACAACCTTCCTTTGATCTAAGCAAAAAGATAAATGATGATGGATCACAACAACTAATTTATGAATTTATGAGCTTTTTTAATGTTTGGTTCTGTCTAGCAATTCGAATTGTATTTCCTACATGGTTTGCTACCAAAAAGTAGTAATTAATTTAAATTAATAGATCATAATCTCCTGAATATGAAAATACAGCAAGTATGGCTTCATAATGTATGCACACACAAAAAAAGATTTGGATATTTTCTAGGCAAAAATGTCCCCAACTAATCAATAAATAAACATGCTTCAACAAAGCTAATTTCAATATATTAAATGTTGTTACTAAAGAAAGAAAAATAAAAACCTAGCATGCCAGTGAAATACCTTCAACTTACCTGCATGGGTTGAAGCCTTCTAACAAATGCACATTTATCAGTAAATGACACTGTTTACCTCTCCATTACAGTTACCAAATCTCACCACAGTCTTTCATTGGAGACACATTATGATTGTCAGTAGGAGCTGAAGCTGAAGTACATCTGTAAAAATAAAATATCTCTCTTGTATTAATTGTTTACTATAATTGGCTAAGGAAAACCATTTAAATTTCACTAAAAAAAGTTGCTGGTAATGGCCATGTAGTTTGGAAATGCTGTACAAAGCATTATTCTCTTTGAACATGGGGATGCTGCAAGGGGTTTGACTTAGGGTCTTGATGTGGATAGGAAAGTTCAGTATGAGCTTTCCCCACACGGAAAGCAATGAATGAGAAAAGATGTGTGGTCATCCCATGTTATGTGATGAATATTTGGACTTTTCAAGGTCACTTCAACCACAAGTTCTTTAGGTTCACTCATTAATAAGAAAAAGTATTCATTAGACTTCTTGAATTACCAGAAATTTGACACTTTATAGACACTCAAAAAGGGAATTTGAAGTCTTCATAGGGATCCAACTGGAACAGCAGATCCTGTACAAGTTCAGGGCTGACTGGGAGTTTATCATTCTCACAGCCATGGTCCTCCAGCTCAGGCTCTGGCATCTCCTTAGCCCATCATCAGTGTGTAAGATAAAGAAAACATTAAACACATCTGCCTTGATTATTCCCTGTTTATTAGGTGACCATCCTCATTTTGTAATGGGCTGATATTATTTCTGTATTACCTTTTTCTATTAACATTTAGATTTAGATTTGTGTTTAAATGTATGAAATACAACAACTACATTTTATGAAGTTTCTAGCCAATGCCTTTCAAACTGTTACCTTTGAATTATAGGTTTTCAGAAAACTAATAAACCAATTAATTTTATGTCACTGTTCAGCATAGATTCCCTTAAACCAGGCATGAGTGCTTTACTTGAAAAGGTCATCCTGTTCATGCTTATGAAACTCATTTGAACCCATGCATAAACTCAAAACCAGAAAAGTCCCTCCCTTGGCTGGGAATAAGTGGCACAGGCTCACAGCAGCTCCTAATTAAAAAATCAGGATGTGTAGAACATGAATATGTGGGAATGCTTGATAAATATTTACCTTTCTGCAGCAACTACTGCTCTTTCCAACTACCCAAAATCCCTCACACAGGGAGTACTTCTGAGGAAACAAACTTTTCTGAACCTGGAGGGGTATCTCCTCCTAATTTCAGGGGAAATACTTGCAGAGGGGGGAGCTCCCTAGCATTAGGAGGAAAGTCATGTGGTCCTGAACAAAACAGACAGAAGTTTCCAAGCAACACAGTGATGTGAGATACAGCAGCTGCTCTGACTGGCTACCCA